TACGACATCCAGTCTTGCTAGCAACGCCTCATACTCGACTTCGTTATTGGACATCTTGAATTTTAATCTGATTGCCCTTTCAATGACGAATCCTTTTGAGTTAACTAGCACAATACCTATCTCTGCCCCCCCTTGCGTTCGAGGATCCATCAACATGAAGATCCCAAACGTCCCCTGTTAGATCATGTGACGTTGGTGGGGGCTCGAAAGCAGAGAACTTGGCGATAAAGTCCGCTAGGACTTGTCCTTTTATCGAAGTACGAGGCTTGTACCTGATCTCAAACTCCCCAAGCTCTATAGTCCATTTGGCAATCCTCTCGGACATACCGGCACTGTGAAGGATCGGCTTGAGAGGCCGGTCTGTAAAGACATCTATGGCATGAGCCTGGAAGTAGTGTCAAAATTTTCTCGCCGAGACTACCAATGCCAAGACCAATTTCTCCATTGGAGAGTACCTTATCTCGATGTCAAGAAAAGTCTTGCTTATGAAATACATGGGTCTTTGGGCCCCTTCGCTATCTCTGACCAGTGCTCCACTCACGGCGTCTTGAGATACGGATAAGTAAACGCTAAGCACCTCTCCCGCCGCCGAAATGGATAAAATTGGAGGATATTTCAAATACTCCTTGATTCCTTCAAGAGCTCGACCACATTCCTCTTCCCATACCCCCTTAGTCACCCCCCTCAACTTGACAAAAAATGGTTTATACTTATCGAACGACTTGGAAATAAATCGGTTAAGAGCTGCCAACATCCCAGCCAATTTCTGAATATCCTTAATGGTCCTAGGTGCCCGAACAGTTTGGATTGCTTGTATCTGCTCGGGGTTTGCCTTGATACCCCGGTGAGTAACCAAATGCCCCAAAAACTTTCCTAAGCTCACTCCAAAAGCACATTTCGAGGCGTTTAGTTTTAGGTCATACTTCCGGAGGATGACAAATGTCATCCCGAGATCATAGAGATGGTCGACACTCTCTTTACTTTTGACCAACATGTCATCAATGTACAACTCCATCATTTCGTCAAGCTGGTCTTTGAAAATTTTATTCATTAAACGTTGGTAAGTCGCCCCAGCATTCTTCAACCCAAAAGACATCATTGTGTAATAGTAGATCCCCCGGGGCGTAATGAACGTTGTTTTTTCTTGATTTGATTCATGTAAGGGAATCTGGTGATATCCAACCTGAGCATCCATAAAAGTGATTCGCTTGTGGCCAGCTATGGTGTCTACCAGCTGATCAACCTTGAGCAAAGGGTACTCGTCCTTAGGGTAGGCCTTGTTCAGGTCCGTGAAATCCACGCAAACTCGTCATTTCCTTCTTTCTTCTTGGCGCACATGGTATTGGATAACCACTGGGGGAATTGTACCTCCTGATGGAACCTACCCCCAACAACTTATCCACATCTTCATCCACAGCCTTCGCGTGATGAGGCGCCATTTTTCGGGCCTTCTATCTAACGGGTTTGAATGAGAGATTCACATGGAGCCGATAAGTCATCATCTTGGTACTTATCCCCGTCATTTCGGTCTGGGTCCATGCAAAGACATCGGCATTGCGGCATAGGAATGAGGTCATATCATTTTTCTCTATGTCGTTGAGTGACTCTCCTATCAAAAAGTACTTCTCATTGTTATCTGGGCTCAGGAGAATCTTAACCAAGGCCTTAGTAGACCGGTCGGCTGGTTTTATAATGGGCTCATCCACTCCTGGGCGACCGCTCTGTGATTGCTATTTGGCAACCACCGCATCGGGATCACGTTCCTGACTTCGATCGCTAACTCCAGTTTTCACCGCAACATAGAAATAGCTTTTCGCTGATGCCTGATCACCCCGGACTTCTATTTTACCCTGCGGTGTTAAGAACTTTATCTTCTGATGATAGGATGAGTGGACCGCCTTTATCGCATACAACCACAATTCTTTCATAATGGCGTTGTACGGGGAGTCGGAGTCTACCACCACAAACTCCACTAGGGTGGTCACCACCCCTGCGCGTACCATGAGGGTGATCTTTCCAAGAGGTAGGGCGTTGGAACCATTGAAGCCGATGAGGGGGTCTTTACGGGTTTCAGGTCCCCCTGCGAGAATCCCATTTTACGGAATAGAGGTGATCATACATCACCTCGAAAGAACTGCCTGAGTCCACCAAGATCCTTTTGACATCAAACTTCCCGACCCGCAAAGTGATTACCAATGCATCCTCGTGGGGAAGGACCACCCCACCGAGGTTAGCATCGAAAAACTAGATAACCTCGGCACTACTTCGCGGCTTCTTGGGCGGCCACTCCTCACCCCTTTCTTCCACCTGATTGCTTGAGAGACCTTCTGTAACTTGGTGTGAAGGGAGTTGTACGTAGGATTCTCCACGGTGCAGGCATGAATAACATCAATCACGGATGCCACCTCAGCTAACACCTCGGCTCGCTCTCTCGTCGATCTTCCGGGAGAACCCCTATCGATGAACTCCCCGAGGTGTCTGTCTTGCACCAATTGTTCAAAGAAGGATTTATAGAAAGTCACATTGGCTACACCATACCAGACACACCTTTTTTTGTTATCCTATTTTTTGCAATCCTTCGTCAAATGACCTACATCTTTATGATACGAACAACGGAATGACGCATTCCTTGTCGATGGGTCTCCTATCATCCTCGAGGGCCACCTGAAATAGAGTTTGTTTTTAATCTTGGGGAGTATCTTGTAAATGGGCTCTTTGAAGACCGTGTTCACCCCCTGGAAGGACAGGCGAGTAGGGGGTGAAACAAGCTCTCCCCTTCGGGCCGGCTACTCCCTCTCTCTTTTTCTCAGCACCGGGACCTTACTCTCGGGCACGTTGGATTCTTCCTCCACTCAGGCATATTTGTTAATCTGAGTCATCAAGTCTTTCTTGTCCGCCGGAGCCTTCTTAGTCAGCAATTTATACAAATTAGTGTCCCGGGACAACCCCAGCCTAAACGACGCCACGACGAATGCCTCCGAACATGCCTCCACCTCGTTGACCTCATCCCAATTCCGGACGACATATTGTCGAAGTGTCTCTCCTTCTTTCCGCCTAAGCGTCAACAGAGCGCCGATGTCCTTCGATTTCTTACTGTTGGTGATAAATCGAGCTATGAAGAGCTCCATCGATTGTTTCCAGGACCTGTCGCTCTCAGGAGCTAGGTTCTCATACCATCTCATGCCTGTGTCCCCTAGGCTCATGGGAAAAACTCGACACAACACCCTTTGATCAATATCGTAGATTGACATCAATTGTTTGTATTACCGTAAATGACTCTCGGGATCGGTCTTCCCATCGTAGATTTTAAACTGTGGGACAGTAAACTTGTTCAGTATTTCGGCCTCCCTAATAGTCCGAATGAACGGTGACATGACTTCGTTGGCATAGACCTCGGGCTTAGGGTTACGATAAGTGGCGGGGTGGACCCTAGGATCCCCTCTTGGCCTTTCTTCTCGAGGCCTCTTGGGTGTGGACTCCACTTGTGATTCGGCGGCTCCGATGTCCTCAAGTATCCCTCGGCGGAGGTCCCACTGAGATAGACTCGCCTTTTTGCCCGATTCTGAATTCCCCTTGGAGGCCGAGAATCCACTTTGGCGGTTACGTCCCTTGGGTGAGCGTCTAAGCCAGTCTTTCCTAGAGGGTCTATGCCAGGGAGGCCTGGAAAGGTTTTGGCTGGGGACCTGGTCCCCGAGCCAGCGACTACGCCCACCTGCACTGCTGACTGCTCAAAATCGTCGAGCCGCCGCTGGACCTTGGCGTTTTCCTTGTCAAGCTGCTTAATACGTTTACTATCCGCTTTTCCACCATCTCAACGATATCACGGGCCATGAGGTCATGCCCCCCAAGGCCCTGATCCATAGGGAGCGTTCGTTGCGAGAAATGTTCCCCTCCACCTGATTGGCCCAACGGACCCGGTTCCAGAACCATTGGAAGTCGGACAGGCTCTGCGTTCCTTACACGCACACTTGCTCCTTCACCTTGAGATCGAGTGTTCACCATCAGACGATTTTTACTAGGAAAGATGCTCTCGTTTCCTACAGACGGCGTCAAATTGCACGGGATAATTCCTGCAATAGTTTAAGACAACGATCTCCAAGCTGGCGAACCTGAAACAACAGGGTTAGAAAAAGGGGGGCTAGGTGAACACCCGACTTATCCCCTCCGAAACTTAAGTCAGTCTAAGGTCGAAGGTTTAACTCAATGAACAATCTTTTTTGATTCAAGTTTGCGGACCTTTGTCCATTTTTCTGAGGAGTATTTATACCTGAATTAACAATGATTGTCAAAAGTCTTTAGTCTCATCTGAACATCTAACATCTGACACACCATTCCTTGTATAATGAGTGTTTTCTACTCACGTCTCCTCCTATTAAATGTTAAGACGATGGGATGAGCGCTTGGCTAAATGCCGAGCATTTATGTCCTTCCCCGAGTACCCAAATTTCTCAGATCGGCATCTGACATCAACTGAGCATTGAATGCTCGGGGGAACAGTTCCTCGGGGGGGGGGGGGGGCGATCGCATTGTCTCGGCGCATCAGTCATTAATACTTAACCATCATGATAGTAGGCCTAGACTCCCAGAGTGCAGTGTTTGAAGGCGCGCATTTATTTATCTTGTCACCATCACTCACTCCGCCATAAATGAGGGGTCACGTCGTATTAAATATAATACCAGCAATTGTACTCAGCTGCTCCGAGTCACCATACCTCGACTTATTTCCTTGGCGTCTTTTAGACGTTCTAATAGTTTCATTATTTCATGTGTCAACCTGGGGCTGTAGAACCACCTAGAGTCTCGCCAGCAATATAGATAAATTATAAATTTAAATTTTTTAAATTCAAACCAAGAAAAAGACCAACTAATCTCAGAATAAATGACTTATCTTTATCTACACCGAGAAAAAGACTAATCAAAATATATGGAACTCGTAATCTCGTCCAAACATTCTATGACAATTGAAAAAAAAAAGTTGGGTGGCGGGAACTTTTACCGCCCCTCTCTCTCCACATCACAAAGACACCGCCCCAACTCGTTTAAAGAGGGTTTCTCACTTCTGAGCTCTCAAAATAAAATCCGACGACCAAACGGAAAAAACTTTAACCCATTTCCCGGTGACCTAATCGGAGAATCAGGTAACACTTCAAACCAGAGAAACTAATTTGAAAACAATTTTATCTTTAATCGTCGATTAATCGTTCGTGTGCTGTGCGTATCGAAGGCCATGGATACATCAAACCCTGCTGTTTTCGTGAACGTCGAGCTGCTTCGCATGTATGTGGGGCGGAGGGTTAGGGCCGTGATTCAGGTTGTACGATCCGATGGCGGTGTAGTAGTTGGAAAATCTACCGATGAACAACAATTAGTCGTAAAAGGCTCTCCGCCAGTTTCTCTTTCTAATTTCGTTGAGGTAATTGGTATTGCTGACAGTAACCAGTCCATCCGTGCTGAAATCTGGAACAACTTTGGTGATACATTCGGTATGACTTCGGATCCACCGTGAATTTTGTGTTCTTATAGATTCTTTTCTTCAGATTGAATAATTTGTGCAATGTCAACCTAAATCACTTGTTTTGAAACTGCTATTATGTTTAGATCTAGTGAAATGTGAGCAGTTTGTAGTGATTTCTGCTTCTATGTTTTGCTTGAATGACTGACCATTGACATGCAAGTGAATCTTTTATTAAATAAATCTTCACAATGGTTTTAAGTCTTTTTTGTCTTATTTTCTTGAAACCTTAGCAACATTTATAGTTCTTCCAAAAGCTGCTATTTGCTTGAAAGTAAAAATCTGAGGGGCGAGTGGCCTTCAAAATAATTGTTGAATACTCAATTGCCCACTGCTTTATAATTTTGTTCACATGAGAAATCGCGGGATATGTTATAAATGATATGCATCTTTCATAACCATAATTTGTGGTGAGTTGTAATCGATTCTTGTAATTGGTAAGTCTGTATGTAATGAATATAGTCTGCAATGTTAAGAGTCATTAGTGATGGAGGTTAGACACAAACAAACCCCATCTGAAGTAAATCAGCGAAAAAATAAAAAAAGAAAAAAAATTTGCATTTGGACGTGGATCTTATACTCAATGAATGATGTTTATAACTGTTTGAATAACCTTGACTGGCATTTGAATAACCTTCTGTTGAAACAAGGGTCGTGAAATGGGACAAACTGACCTTGGTCAAGATGGGCATCCCAATGTATGCTCGTTGGCCTCCTTTATTAGTATATATTTCTTTAGGATGGCTTTGGATTTGCTTGTAAATGCCATCTATTTCTGTTTTTCTCCTATTATCAATGACAAAAGCTTGTGTATTATTTGTATAAGCTGATCTTCTTGTTTCTTCAGTTAACAAGTTGTCAGGAATATTGACAATGCATAGTGTGTAGAAAAAAGATGAAAAATCTCAAAACCTTAACCCATAATCTTGTTTTTTATTCTCAAGAAGAACATGATTAAGTGTTTATTTATTGGTCTCTCACACGTGGGCTTATTAATATTCATGGGATTGGGCACACAAATCAACCCTTAATCATACCAATTAGGTGGCTCTGGTTTCTGTTTGACTGTTTCTTTTCTCTTCCCTTTCCATGTTGCATCAAAAAGACTAATTAGTGCGTCAAGTAATTGAATTTTGGATGGGTATAGTGCTCAAGACAGACAAAAATCCCCAAATTCTCAATCTCAAGATTCAAGGCTTTATCTTTTACACCCCGTTTGCAAATTCAACCAATTTTTAAGCTCGAGTCTCATTCACGTTAATTCTCATAACAACAGCTAATAGTAATTATATAGGGTTGTCTGATGGCAGCAATAAAAAATTGCTATATTTGATGACAAAAAGTAAAGTTTTCACAGTTGGAGTATTGATTTGGGCTTCCGTATGGGTGTGAATCCAACCATTGATGTGATAGGCCATTTCCATCGTGCATCTAGTGTTGTGTGCTGAAGTTATTCACAAGTAATTTAGTCTATGGTGGATGTGCTGTTAATCTATATGGTACAAATCTTGAATTTTGTTGATTATGAATTTCTTTGCTTCTCAAGGACTTTTTTCCTTTTCCTTTGCAGATACATCTACCTACAACCAGGTTTGCCAACTTGCAAATGGAGAGTACAAACACTTGTTTATCTAAATGTGGCTTATAAGATGCTGCAAAGAGAGTATATGGATTTAGTAATTTTGGGTTTTGATACTATTTTGCGAGATATCTTGAGCTTGGGATTGTTTTTTTTTTTGGTAAATTAGTGGTGGATTTGCCCGAAATCTGAAGTTCTTTTCATTCCCCCTCCATTATTTGATAGAGAATGCTCTCCGCTTTTTTCTTGTGGGTTACTATATAAAACACAAGCCAAGGAACTCAACCACAACACAAGCACCCTTCACTAGTTTTGGATTTGCAATTTGACTAATTCATACTTCCAATATTCTTCATAGAAGGGATCTACCATTCCACCAGGGATCCTGGTTGATATTGTTTATAAAATATCCCTTGTATTTTTCATAAACTCTAGTGTGCAGTCTTCTGAAAATGTTATGCTCCGTTTGGACATCCGAGTCTAGCATAGCAATTAATAATATATATCCATTTGGATTTGAGTAGCTGTGAGTATGTGATTCAGTCCAATTGTGGTAAGGAAAAATTCCTATGGTAGAGTGGAGTATGTAATAGATTTTCTATATGGACAAAGGCAAAAGGGTAGTTGTTCAGTTTGGGATTTGATGGCCAGGGAGAAAAACTTCCTTTGATGCTGAAGTTTTTGGCTGATGTTGCAAACCTCACGTTCATGACAAAATGGTAATGATCTGTGTACATCAAGAGAAAAGTGGGAGTGAAACAATTTACATTGAAACTATTAAGATTAAAGATTCAATAGAGTGAAATAAAACTATTAGATTTCCACAGCTTGCAACTACAACCCCTCTTCTTCAAACCCCTCGTCCTGCTTGAAACTCAGCCCCAAAATGAATCCAACACACATAACAGTTATGGTAGGGTTCATCTTAAAAAAAAAAAAAATGAGCTTAGACCGAACAAGATCAAATACAAATATAGACCTAAGAAGGGATCATTGTCGGAGATTTTATAGTTTTTTGGCATATTGATGCACAATCAAATGAGAAGAAGGGATATTTTTAGGAGATTTTGTAATTTCTCGATGAGTCAATGTCCAGTCAAGAGGTGAATGGTTTTTCTAAACTCGTGTATGGCAGAAAAAAAAAAAAAAGGCAGTCTCGTGGTCTTATGCAAGAGTAGGATTAAATTTTGGAGTTGATCAAACTTCAGTTTACTTGGAAAAATAGTGTTATTAGCCCATGATAGAAGCAAATGTCAAATGGTGATAGACCAGTTATAACCCGTGATTAAAAACACGACATAATATAAAATTTAAAAGTTTAAAAAATCGAAATGATTATATTTACTATCCATTAATTTTTAAAAAATTGATCATACTATATATAATTGTATAATTTAAAATTAATTTCTATCAATTATTTTTTTTAAAAAATTGACAAATTTTTTTCAAAATGTATGACCTCAACAAATATCAATTATATTGAGATAATAATTAATTTAAAATTAAATGATTTAACTTGTTATGGAAATGGATGATGTGATAAAAATGAACCAAAAAAAATATGAAAATATGATTTAAACTCATAACTCCATTTCTTATAGCAACTCTAATCCTGCTCAGCAAAATAATTACTCAAAATATATTTAAATATTAAATTCTCTATTTTAACTAACCATTTTTAAAATTCACTCCAACCATATTATCTATTTTAGTTAACTATTTCAACTAACTTTAACTAATTTTTAATAATATAATTTAAAAATATTACGTCGCGTAACACGTAAGTACTATAATGATAGAGCATGATAAAGTGTTGTGCCACGTCATCAATATTTCAAATTTTAAATTTTACAACAGTCATATTTTTAAAAATCTATAAATAAGACATTCCCCTTCTCATTGTCATATATCTCAAATTTATTTTACTAGTATTGCAATTATATTTTTTTGCTATAGCTCATGATGATAAATTAAAGATAATTCTTAATGATTCTAACTCCAACGATGAGTTAGAGATGTTAGAGGTTACTACTACAACAATGGAGAATATATATTATTCATGTAATTTAACGCAAAGTAGACATTATTCATGTAATTCAACTCAAAGTATACATTATTCATGTAATTTAACTCAACGCATACTATAACAATAATTCTAAATTTCAAATATAATCCAACTCAAAGCATAAAATATCACTTATGTCAATTTATTATGTAATCACAACATCAGGAGCAATGATGTCAATTTAAAACTTTGAAAATCCTTTGAAATATTATCACCATAGATGTTTGTGCATACACATATCCAAAATAAACATGACATGGTCATCATCAACCCAAATATAAAAAATCAGTAGAACATTTGCATACACCCATTCAGTAGAACCTTCCAATGAATTATGAAATAGTTCAAACCCATTCAAAAAAATAATAATAACCATTCAAAAAAAGCCAAATATCATAAGAATTGAATTAAATATCTCAGACGTAATTAAAAAAAACCAAAAAAACCACAATTAGGCAAGGAGGCAGAGTGACTGAGGGAGAGAATAGCTTCGCGCTTGTGCGATAGTGTGTGTCGTTGTGCAAGTAGTGAGTGTTTGTGTCATTTTGTGAGTGATAGTGAGTGTATGTTGTAGGGAGCAGAAATGAAGAAATTAGAGGAAGGAAGACATGCCTGGTAGGAAAAAAGGCAGAGCGACTAAAGGGAGAGAGAGTCAAGAAGCTACTGGCGAGCAATTTGGTCTCTTCAGATCTGACTAGGACGAAGACCTCCAACTATTTTGGCGAGGAGGATGGCAAGCATGTTGGAGCTAAAATTTGTAGCGTTACTAGCTAAAATAGCTAAAAGGATAGAATAGCCAGCAACATTGGAGTTGCTCTTATTATAGTATGTGCTCTAAGCATCACTTCCAAGCAGAAGCAGTCCAAACTCAGTATCCATTGCCCCAAAGGGTTATTTTCAGTTCAAAAACTGTCCTTCTAATTACTCTCATTTTTTTGGGGGTAAGTGTTATTAATCGGATAGGAAACCGCAAATAAGTAGGGACCATTCTGTAATATCGCTCATGACACGAAGGTAGACGTTCCAAATTAAAAACCCTAAAAAGCCAACCACTCCGTCTAGGGTTTTATTTACACAGAAAGGGTGTGTGAAATCCTTCGCGCGCGCCACAGAGAAGACTTAGACTGGTAATTTCTTCCCTCCTTTCTCTCTCTCTCTCCAAATACACGCACACACACACAAATATGTATTGCCATTTTTGACAGGTTTCAGCTCATATATATATATATATATATATTTCTCTCGTTGTAATAGATTCAGTGTGTTCTCTATCCGGATTATTTTCTTTCTTCCTAAAATCTGATAACGTTATGTGAAAAATGCGTTCACACGAACCAATTTACACATCATTATGCAATTTGGTTTGGAAGTTCTAAAGTAACGTACTTTGGGTTTTGCTAAAATTTGGGTTCTTTTTTATCTTTTGTGACTCAGCTGTATTTTGTATGTCTCTTGACTAATGTGTGTCCATCTAGAGTGTAAAACATAAAAACTATATGTTTGGGAGCTGGAGTAATTTTAGCCAATCATTGGTGACTAACGATCAATTGACATATACTGACTAACAATCTCACTGCCACTTCGGCTCTCAGTTGGTGTTGCATGTATGGGAGCATATTGCATGTAGAAACTATTAGTCACCCCTTGGTGCATTTAAAGCTGGCTAGAAAGTTATTGATTGGTCTGTTTTCTCTTTGCGTCATACCTAGATTGGTCATTGATGGGTTAAAAACTTGGGGTGGGAGCTTGCAAAAGAGGTGGATAAATGTAGAGACCTGTGCGATTATGTTTGGAGAGAATCATGTTGGAAACGAGGGAGCTTGATAAGAAAAAAATTGCCTTTGTTTGGCTGATAAGAAAAAACTCCTTCGTTTGTTTGCTGTAAATGTAATAAGTTGGATTGTGGAATAATTGATTTTGTCTTCACAATAAGATTGCAAGCATGTAATTTTCCCTTTCTTCTTAAACTGAACATTATTCTGAATCATGCAAGCTTACTTCTGAAATAGGGGGAAGCAGGTATTATGCATGTGCACCGATTGCATGCATGTAATTTTTCCTATCTTCTTAAATTGAACTTTCTTCAGAATCATGCATGCTTTCTTCTCAAGTAGGGGGAAGTACGCATTATGCATGTGCACTTTGCCTTAAATTATCATTTAGTTGCGAGTTATCTAAAGTTTTAGAGGATCTGAGTGTTAATGGGGAAGTACATGACAAATAGTAACTACCTATATTCCTTTATGGTGCGTGAAAGAATTATGGATGATGACTTTTGATTAGAAACGAATATATAATCATTTTTCCCTTGGATCATAAATTTTTAGATACCATTGTAATTGAAAAGGGAAAACAGCTTTGGGGTGTCATAGGAAGTAAAACGTGATATGGATGAGTGGAGTACCCTTGTTGGACACTCGGTTCTAGATTTTAACATGTCATTCCCATGTATCTATTTCTTTCGCAAAATTAGTAGTTAGCTTCAGGGTTTTGTTCTTGGATGTTCTTCTTCACATACGATATCATATTGCAATATTGTGATTTTAGAAACTTCTGTTCCTAGGGCATTAAATAAGTTTTAAGAAATTCTTAAATTTGATGTTTTCCATAAAGATATGTATCTTGCGATACATCGCGATATAATACTCGAACGATACATATCTATGAGTTGAATCGCTTTTCACCATATCTTAAGATACGCGATATGTATTTTACGATATTTTTCGATACAATCAAAAAATGATACACACAATATTAAAACAACCTCGTTTCATAACATTTTTTTTACCTAAACAATGAAACAACGCCATTTCCCCAATTTGTTGTTTTCACTTTTTTGGTTTGTTCTCAAACAAACGAAGCTCTCAATCATCTTCTCTCAAGACCCTTTTTTTGTTTCTCTTGCATCTTATTCTTCTTCTCATTCAAACAGAAAAAATCGTATTGACATTTCGATTTCTATTGTAAAGACAAACAATTTTTTTTCTTTTCATCTCTATTGGACACATGAATCACACGAAATGATAAGTGAGTGAAAATGATATTTATATTACTGTAGAGATTATATATTTACATAGTTTTAGGTATATATATATATATATATGAATTTAAATTGAGCGTATATTATGATACATGATACGTTATGATATTCGATACATTATTTTTTAAAATTGATGCGGTTTCGATACACGTTTTGACAACCATGATATGTTCAACTTGAAATTTGGATTTTTTTAGTTTTATAGTATGTCGACTGGTTCTCCATGCTCTGTTTCTTTGTCATCTTCTAGCACCTGTCCCTATGAAATTCACATGTTTTGATAATGGGGATTCTGTTCGTCTAATATTTCAAAAGGACATCTATTTTCCGGAGTATCTTTTGACGTTTTTAGAGACTTACAAAGAAAATATGGGCTTGGATTTCTCAGTATCAAAAGATGTTTTGCTATATCTTGTGCTTCAAATAATTTTGTGAAATTATGTTCTGAAAGAATGTTAAACATCTAGGCTATCTATTTTCTGTTATCGTGAGGTACTTTTGCTGGTATAGTACAGTAGGATGTCAAGAGTGTGCAATTAGACTATGCAAGAGGATGGCTCTATGGTTAAATTCAATTTTAAAACAATGTTGCGTGCACAAGTTACTGATGTATAGCAGCACACATTAAGCCTCATCCCAGACTGCTTCATTACCTGTGTGCGCTTCTTTGTTCTTGTTATTATTGCATTCTTGGAGTTGGAGTTTCCATCCAGAGTCCATTTTTCCGAGTATGAATTACCCTTTGGGATGAAGCCATTTTTGTTGTTAGAATTTGGGATTAACATCTTTGTTATACACACAGTTGTGTATCTTTGTGGGATTAATGAAACGAAGTGTCAGAATGTTCTGATATTGAGAATTGGAAATGTGATGTGCATTTGGAATTTCCTCTTCGTTGGTATGTTCTCAGTTCCTGTGCACTAAATTAATGCAGGAAGATCACAGAATGGGACATGCATTCCGGAACTGGAATTGCCTTTTGTGGGATTGGATAGGACTATGTCTTGATGACCAAAAACCATTTAACTTTCTGTTTCTTCTGTCTAGAGATATTTCCTAATCTTTTCATTTGCTGTTGCATTCATTAATGCACAAATATTATCTCCTTGTTACTTTCATCTGTTGTATTCAATTGCTCATTCCTTCTTACTTGCTTTTTTCCTCTTTTTTCCTTTCTTTGTTGTGAATGCATTGTCCCTGATAGATAGTTTACACTAAAAGTTGGCCTTAAATGTTTTTGGGCATCATTCGATATCTAAATTTCGAAAAATTCATTGCTTCATTGTTTTTGCACCTGTTGAGCATCATCAACCTCTTGAGTATCATTCAGAATTCTCTATTGACCGTCTCTGTTTGTATTGGTACTATATATTGTCTTCCCTTTATTGAAAATTATTCACATTGAAACTCCTTGGAGCCATATTTCATGGCACAAATTCGATTGAGATTCTTACTCTGGGACTCTTGTTGGCCTTTCATTTTGTTTCCACCTGTCCATATTTGTGTTCGTTCTTCTGCAAATGCTTCTGGCTTCTGTGCTTCCATCACAGTTGCTGTGCAAGCTTACTTTTTTAGATATATAAGATGCCGAGGAGAAGGGCAAGTGCCATAAAGCCTACTGAACCAGAAAAGCCTGTTGAGTCTGAAGAGCGGGTGGACCTTGATGAAGACAATGATCTTGAGGAGACAATAGAGGAAGAGGTTGAATATGAAGAAGTAGAAGAAGAAGAGGTGGAGGAAGAGGAAGACGAGGAGGAAGACGAAGAGGAAGAGGAGGAAGAGGAGGTGGAGGAAGAGGAGGGGAGAAATGGTGCCAATGTAGCTGATGCCCAAAAAGGTCGAGACAGTGATGAGGAGATGAATGCTGCTGAGGCAGTAGAGGATGTGGAAAAAAAGCATGCCGAGCTTCTTGCACTTCCTCCTCATGGTTCGGAGGTATACCTTGGTGGCATACCTCAAGATGCCTCAGAAAATGATCTGAGGGGATTTTGTGAATCAATTGGAGAAGTAGCAGAGGTATATTATTACTATTTTTCATCAGTGCAATGTTTCTCTGTGTTATATCCAAGGAACTTACATTATATGTGTGCAAAATAACAGGTCAGGATAATGAAGGGAAAAGACTCAAATGAGAACAAGGGCTATGCGTTTGTCACCTTCAGAACTAATGAATTGGCTTCTAAGGCTATTAAGGAGCTTAATTATACCGAGCTGAAGGTAATGCAAACAGAAATGTGACATTCATGCCTTTCTCTTTCCTATCGGATTTTCCTTAAATTGTCCCAAATTATATATAGTGATAATGCCGCCGCCAATTTGTGCATGCCTGTTTTTTACAATGACTTCTCTGGCATATTGCTGGAGGTTTTTTGATTTTGGGAACCAGGTTATTGACATTCTGTTGAAATGTGACATTCATGCCTTTTCTTTTTCCTATCGGATTTTCCTTAAATTATTCAAATTATATGTAGTGATAATGCTGCCGCCAATTTGTGCATGCCTGTTTTTTACAGTGACTCCTCTGGCATATTGCTGGAGTTTTTTTTGATTTTGAGAGCCTGGTTATTGACATTCTGTTTATGTCTTTGTCAGGGAAGAAAGATAAGGTGTTCAACATCTCAAGCCAAGCATCGATTGTTCATTGGTAATGTTCCCAGAAACTGGGGAGAGAAAGATATGAGGAAGGTTGTGTCAAAGATAGGGCCGGGTATTATATCAGTGGAACTGCTGAAGGTTTGTATGATTGAAACTTTTTTATTTAGTATCTTATTTCATGTTTTTCGCTGCTATTCTCTTTTTAATACTTACAGGTACTTTCCCATCTTTGGTGCTATTTTGTTGTGATTTTCTGAACCTTGTTGTTTATTATCTTCTTTTCTACTACAGGACCCACAGAACTCCAGCCGGAATCGGGGGTTTGCATTCATTGAGTATTATAATCATGCGTGTGCAGAGTATTCGAGACAAAAAATGTCAAACCCAGAATTCAAGCTCGATGATAATGCTCCCACTGTGAGTTGGGCTGACCCAAAAAATGCCGAGTCTTCATCTAATTCCCAGGTTTACTATTCTTCACCTGTTCTTTATTCCTCCTACACGTGTTGTTCAAATGAATGGAGTGATGCTATTTGTGTAATTAGTCCTATGCACCTATCAGCAGCTGATACTGAGTGGTATAATTCAAACTCTTGTAGCTCTGGTTGTCACATTGTAATGGTTTTATGGGAAAATTACAATAATGTCCTTGAAATATCTTTTATGCAAAAATCCGAGAATATACTCGTTTCTGCTTTAATTAATTTAAAATATCAAAATGGTGTTTCCTAGGGTGGGCAAACCATAGTTTAGATTCCGTACTAGTAAACTCAATTTCTTGTCATTGATGTCTTGCGCCCCATCTCTTGAGCATCAGGCATTTCTTGCATGTGACGGACAACAAAAGTGAAGATGAAAACTAAGAATTTGGGTAAAAAAGTTGGTTGCATCTCAAACATTAACATTCTCCTGCTTCAACAAATTTGAAACTATGTTTTTATGATAGGATTCAATTTTGACTGTTAATTTTTTTTTGACTAGTTATCCCTCTTAAGTCTAATGATTTCAACTACTGAGAGATAGATTTTCTTAAGACATAAAAATTGAACAAACTACATCATTTGTTTAGTTTCTTTTTTGGGTGAATTATGTCTGAAGTTTCAATTACCGTTCAATGACACTTGTGCAAATTAAGCTTACAACTGTCGTGATTCGTGAGCATGATGGTTGGTGCTTAGTGTTGAGACACTGAGTATATATATGTCCCTGGGGAGGCTTGTTTGATGGAACGCAAACACATTGAGAGGAATGGGTTTTTTTTAGCTAGAAAACTTTCCTTGTTCAAATTATCCAGATGGACAAATGTTTTCTAGAGTTTTCTGGATTGAGGACTTAATTTTAAGGTGTTATGTTGGTTTCCCTTATTTTGGTTTCTGATTCTTTCTTTCTTCTATTTAGGTTTTTACCTTTTCTCTTAGAAAAAGGGAGCCGTGTTGGATTTGGCATCATTGCTTATAGAATTCATGTTAGAAAGCTTACCACAGCTACATTTATGCTCTATATAGATAAATTGGTGGCATCTGTTGCATATGGAAGACCAATGGTGTATACTGATAATTTTTTATGGCCTGGGTATGTCGACCATTACTCTAGGCTGAGAAATTATATTACAATTCTTTTGCAGTTTAACAAATGTTGCTTTGTGTAGTTTGACGTGTTATTGGACTGATTCATTCATTGTGATTGGACACCTGTCATCTCTTCGAAGTTTTGGTTGAAATGATTCTGTGTCTACTAGTTCTAAACATGTATTGTTGTCTTTCTATTTCATTCCAAAGGTGTTTTAAGTCATGATCTGGTTTTCCCTCAGGTGAAAGCAGTCTATGTGAAGAATTTGCCCAAAGATATTACCCAGGATGAGTTAAGAGAGCTGTTTGAACATCATGGAAGGATCACAAAAGTAGTTCTTCCTCCTGCAAGGCCAGGGCAAGAAAAGAGCAGATTTGGTTTTGTTCATTTTGCAGAAAGGTCAAGCGCCATGAAGGCCTTAAAGAACACTGAGAAGTATGAGATAGATGGTAATACTGGCTCCTAGCTTTTGCAGGTTGAGTTATCTAATTAGGGAGGGTAAATACAGCATCCAATAAGTTTGGTTGACCTTAATCTGAGTTCCATTTTTGCAGGTCAAGTTTTGGAGTGCTCACTTGCCAAGCCACAGGCAGATCAGAAGCCTTCTGGTGGCCCAAACTCTCAGAAGTCAGCCTTACTTCCTAGCTACCCGCCTCATGTTGGTCATGGTTTGGTTGGGGGTGCCTATGGTGTTTTAGGTGCAGGATATGCTGGTGCAGGCTTTGGACAAGTAAGATATGTTATGGTGTGCAGGAGTTGAATTAGCTATTCATTTCACATGTTTCGAGTCAATTTCTTTTGTTTGACTGTCTGCATGTATTATGAGAACTAATTCCAATCCAATCAGGTGGCGCCCTATAATTAGTTAGCATACAGATAATGTTTTTTTTGGGGGAAAGATCCATGCATTCTAGTGAGGCAATTTCCAGTTAAAAAAGTCGTGAGACAATTTTAAATCTGTATATTAGTTGGAAATTCACTATTTGAGCAGTCTGTTACTATGTATAGATTGGGACAAGCCCACAAGTACTTTGACTCTAAATATGTTGCACAGTTTGGAATGTTTTCATCTCTGATCATTATCCTCTTGTTATGCTCCAGTAAACAAGCCCCATGTCTATGCACACATGACAAGACACTGTTTTTTCCTTTTTTCCTAGGGAAGAGGTCTAGTTGATGACCTTGGAGTCCTTGTAAGCTAATGCTTGTAGATTTGTTGCTTAGATTCATTTAGAAATGCTATTGTTTCTTGCAGCCACTGATCTATGGGATGGGACCTAGCCCTGCTGGCATGGCAATGATGCCCATGCTATTGCCTGATGGAAGGATTGGATATGTTTTGTAAGTAAATTGTTCTGCTTAAGTTGCTAATTAGATATTGTAATATTTGACCTTTTTTGGTGGCTGTGATACAATGATATGCATGCTTCCTTTTGTCAGTATTATCCTTTGAGATGGTTCCATCATGTTTCAGTAGTCTAGGAATTAACATGCCTTCATTCTTCATTTTACTTTGTTGAAGCCAGAGCGGCTTTGAACCATCACTATGTCTAGGATTTGTGTACTTTGAACCAATGACATGTGTAGTGTTGTTTGTTTTGTATACCATCAAAGGCCCTAAGGGGAGAGGGAGAGAGAGAGAGAGAGAGAGAGAGTGTGTGTGTAATTGTCCAGAGTTTGTGACAAGTCACCTGCTGAATCAATCTACTTATTGGGAAATATGTGTTTTTGTAATCATCTTATGTTTCAGAAAGTTGATGTTTGACCTCCGGCTCTGTAGCGGACTTGGGATTGTCAAATTGGTTGGATAATGATCAGTTTCTGACCCAATTCCAAATTCCACTTGAATTTCTAACTCTAAAGTTGGTAAGTTATCCAGTGCCAGAAGATTTGAATTTGAGCTGTTTTTACTGTAGGCAACAGCCAGGAGCACAACAACACACACAACCACCACAGCAAAGAGGTGGTTGGAGTGGTGAGGGAGGAGGCTCAAGTGGGGAAAGAAGGGGAAGTGGCAGTGGCCGTGGACACAGTCGTTATAACCCTTACTAACGGCGCATTGCATATGAACAATTACCGCCGGTAAGGTAGGAAAGCCGAAATGCTCCATAAGTTGGTTTTATTTGCTTCCATGGAAGTATTTAGTAGCTTGACCACAGAGCTAACATCTTCACCGCTATAAAGTGTTCCTAAGGAATTTCTGATGATTGCATTTCGTTTTGATTGTTTGTACCAACTATATTCACTCTTGACAAATGACTCTCTCTCTCTCTCTCACACACACACACACACTGCACGTCCACAGTATATGGATTATGTGAAACTGAAGATCTTTCGAACTAGTCTAAACTGGAGAGGCAAATTCTGGCATCTGGTATTTTTGCAAGAAATTGGAGGAAAAGCGAGGATGGGGGTAGAGGAGGGGAAAAAGAAGAAGAAGATAACGCGAAAAGTGAGGCTGGAAGGGGATGGTTACAGTTGTGGGATGTTTAGATCGGAGAAGAATTGAACTAAATTTCTACACTAGTCAATTGTGCTTAAGATACTTTTTTATTGGCCATTTTTATTCAGTTGATTATAATCTTATTCAACCCACCCTCAAATCAGGCAGTTTGATACATGTAGAAGACTAAAAAAGGTTTGTTTAGTAGACGTATTATGAGGCAATTAAATATTATATTATATTTTTTTTTATTTAATCAGACCTAATATTTTGTTTGTTAAAGAAACTTGATATTATATAATAATTTAAAAAATGTATATTAATTATATATTTTTTGTACGATAGACTTGTATTATGGAAATATTTTAATACCACAAAGATAGGTGGTATTATTTAATTTAAACGTATTATTTTACACATTTATTATTATAATTTTTAAATTAATAAAATCAAGATGTTATTAAGGTAACAAATACTAATTGAGATTATTTTTCTTAATATAACATTAATGTTATGAAATAATTTTTTAATCAAACAATTGATTAAATTAAATAACAATATTATTCAACGCCTATGTGATGTATTGCCTTTTGCATCTTTCTCTGTTCAAAAGTCTAGGCCCATTCTTTTGAACCTGCATTAGTACTATTTTAGGTGCAAAGCCTCTTCAATAAAAACCTATTTTTCTCTTTCTTTTCTTTCTCTCCTATTTTTCATTTTGTTGATTAGATAAAATTTTGTATTATTTTAATATTTTATTTAATTTTATCTTTTGTTCTTTTGTATTATATTAGATTGAATTATTTTATCTAATCAATCCATTTTTAATACGATAACCAAACGATTCTAAAAGTGTAATTTATTAGCTTGACATGTATACTTCCCACCCAAAATGGGAAGTTAAGCTTCAAAACCCCCATTGAAGCATGTGTTCGTACTTTCAAAAAAAAAAGCATGTGTATGTGTATGTGTTAACCATATATTTGTTGTGTATGGTCATTATATAATCGAAAGAAGAACCATTATATAATCGAAATTGGTCATTATATAATCAAAAGCTAAAAAAAAGCATGTGTATGTATATGCATTTTAGCTTTCCCTTCTATTTATCTTCTTGTTCAGCCATAGTGGGGGGCAAAGTAAAGAAGAACCATTTCTAGACAGCAAAAGTCCTGGAATAATTATTCATCCCTCAAATAAACAAACACCTACAAGCATGAAATCGAAATATGACTAATTGTATAGTGATCCAGACGTTACATCTAGTCTAATACTTTGTGTATCCCATACTGTTAACAGACTAAGTTCCAACAAATAATCGATCTTAAAACTTACATTGAAACATCGTGTAACATGCATTTCAATTGTGATACTCAGGCCTATCGTCCATGGCATATTGTTCTTTCCAATAACCCAATTTCAAAACGCTAGTATGCTACAGATAATTATAATTGTAACTCCTCTGCTCCCAGTGTATTGAGTTGGCTCATAAGTAGCCAAACTGCATAAATCACATCAGCTTTCCTGTCATTCCTTATATATAGCTGTTGCATTTGTGGATCGTTTGGCTTGACGAGGTGAACTCTTCAGAAGGAGGGCAACAGCTGAAAACCTTCATACTGCTCCTCGAAGTAATGACCAGAGAGAGATAGCATTACGTAAGAATCTGCTTATGAGACCATATTTGCAAATGAAGTACAAGTTAATATAACCGTAAATGAAGACAACAAACAATATAATCAATTGCTAAAGGAAAAAACAAGGAATGATTTGCAGAATTTCCACTAGTATTAAGACAGAGCTGCAAATGTAACCAGTTTGCGAAACAATTACATGGATTCGATGTTTGGGCATTTGTTTATACATCTCTGGGTCCAGATTTTGGTATCTGGATACTTAAACAGTGCAATACTACACTGCCAAAGCCTCTGCCATGCAACAAAATGGTTGTAATGCGCCAAGCTGAACAATAACCCATTACCTACTCTGCTTTATTTGGGACCAATATGTTTTCAGATCAAAACCACCCCATGACCATTCTTTAGATTTAAGTCGAGTACTCTTTTAGCCTTTCCTTGCCTTTATTGTGCCCTTACATGAGCAATATATCTATGTCCTGGAGCAGTCAAAGCTTTTAGTTGCACATAATTAAATCTATCATCTACCAAGTGCAGTGATAACCACAAGCTTATTCTGTGTCTCGTTGTTCATTCGAAATTTATAACCCCACAGAAAATCCAATCTTTTTGAACAGTTTTGATGCATGTTAAACGGCAACATGTTTTATGATCAGAGGCTACTACTTACAATTTAGAAGCTGGTCATAAATCATAAAAATCTACAAAAGAACTAATTCTTATTGCTATTATTGGGCTCTATATGGAAGGATGTATTTGTTGTGGTGATCAGCCCTATGTATAAGATTATCTTGAAACTAAAAAGAGAAAAGCCAGAATTTATAATGATGGGAATGAGAGGTATGGATTTTTTTTTTTTTTTCAAAATATATGCTATTTTTTTTTTTTGGGAGGGAGGGGGAGGGGGGTATGAGAGGTATGAATGGCTTGCATATTTACAAGTAAATCAAGGGCATGTACAAAATTACAAGTCTGTCAGGGTCAACAATAAATTGAAGACCTACTATTATGAGCAATTACAAAGGTTCGCGGCTGTAATGTAAACTACTAAGAGATCGCCACATCCAGGTTTGAAAGCTAGACATTTTTTTTTTAGATTAAAAAAATGAGGAGAAGAAGAACACAGCACACAATTTGCCAAGACACAGATAATTGAAGAGGTAGAGATCAGAAAACGACGAGAACACCACACAAAGAATTTGCCTAGATAAAGGGGCTATGTGTGTAACTACTAGACCAAAAAGTATGAAAGAATGTCAATCCATTGCACATAATGAACTAAATAGCGGGTAGACAAGAGGGATATATTAAAGTCTCACCAATGCATTGCTGCAACATGATCACCTACTTTGGAGGCCTTCTTTAGACAAAGACGGATAGGTCTTCAGGTGGTTCAATCCAAACACTCTCAAAAGGATTCTGTTCTCCCCAATCATAACACTGCTTTCGGGGATAGTATCTACAGTCATCAAGAGAATACGATATGCAGCGCTTTCCATAAAACCGAAATTTGGAGAAATAAACACTATTTCGCTTCATTCCAAGCAGGTCAGTCCTTGCCTGGGATGACAAGAAACTCGCAAAGAGTGTCAAGCCCCCAAGGGTTTTCATCTCTACCCATACTTTGTTTATCTGATCCAACTTGTATATCTTAGGATCTAAATCGCAGCAAGTGTATATAACAAAAATATCTCCTTTATGCTCTGCCATAAATTTGCCCTTCCACCAATTTTTGAAAAAAAAATTCTCGGGCATTTAGGTGGAGGCACAATACGAATATTCCACGTAGAGTCTTGTGGGTTATAAACTCCCAGCCAACCAGTAAGACTCAGACAATAAAAGAGGCCATTGCAGAAAACCAGCTTATTCCAAATGCTGCTAACAAATGGCAAACGGTTGTGGTAATTGATGGTAGTCCACTCAGTTGCTCCGGGATGACAAGTGCTAATAGCAACAACTGTGGGGCTGATATGCTTAACAGTAAAAACAATACAGCCAGGAGATGTTGGACCAGAAGAAAAAGCAACTATTTGGTGAGTCAACTCAAATCTTGGCAACTTAATCAACTCGCGAGTGTAAGGACTAAAGAATAGCATCCGTTGGGTTCTGGGTTTGTATAGCAGTAACCAACCATCCTTGGTGTAACAAACTCTAGAGCCAAGTAACTCTGGCAACGCGAGGGAATAAGTCTTACGCTGTGAAGGGTCATAGAATTCAAATAGGTCACCAAATTTTGGAAAGAACATAATCCAAGGAGGTTTGTTGACCACCCGGACTGAGATAGCAACTGAGAGCCATCTTTTGCAAGCAGCAGAAGCGCGGATATTTTCCATCAAGGTTAACCGGGAAATAATCAGTTCCAAAAGTTCAACTGGAAGGTCAGACCATGTTTGTTGCTTCTCTTTCTCATTATTTTCCTCAATCGCAGCTCTTCTATCATGCTTGATTGTTTCAGTTAACCTACACACACATAATCCAGGTAAGTTCTAGCTTTAAACAATGACCAGGTATCCATTCATGAACTTAAAAGGTTACAACAAACCACAGAAACCTAAAAATGTTCAATTTTGTGGTATGAAACCCAGAGGAGACCAAAGATTCCTCGAGGTAAAAGTTATAAAATCTTCTTATGCATCATCATCTATTAAAGCATCAAAACCACCAGCTATGGGTAACAACAGAATCCCAGTTTAGACCTTGATAAAATCAAATTAAAAGCCCAACATAAATCACATAATGTAATAATCAGCCATAAAACAGTAACTGGAATCAAAGATGACCATTTAAACTGTTTGAAACCCCCCCTCTATTAACAAAACTGTTGGTATCACTCATTTAGCTCATCGTGTGGAATCAACAGCAGTCCAGCAAAGAAGTAGTAGTTAATCAAACGTAAGTGTAATTAACAGACTGTTAGAGCCTTCCTGTTATTAGTTAGAATCTCAATCTCTCTCTCTCTTCTATTGTAATTATCTTGAGTCCTATAAATATGATCTAAAAGTGACTTAAGCAATAAGATTTTTATGATTCCATTTTTCTCTCTGTTCAGCTTCTCTTTCATACTCTGTTCAGTAATTCTTCATGGTATCAGAGCCTTGAGAAAGACCAACAGCTTCTTCAATTCTTCTACTGCAACCTCTGTTACAGGGACTTCTTCTTCTTCAAATTCTCAAACTCCAATTTACCTTTTATCAAACAAATGCAACTTAATCTCATTGAGATTGGATTCAACAAATTATGTGGTATAGAAGTTTCAAATTACTGCTCTCCTAAGGGCTCATTCACTCATTAGATTAGATGGAATACGTTTGTGTCCAGAATAGTTCATTCAAGATGATTCAAGAGGATTAACCACTGAAATCAATCTTGATTATCATCACTGGTTTGTTCAAGATCATGCTCTCATGACTTTGATTAATGCAACACTCTCCCAGTCTGCAATTTCTCAGGTCATTGGCTGCACTACCTCTAGAGAAGTTTGGCTAGCCTTAGAAAGAAGATTCTCTTCTCAGTCTAGATCAAACATTCTGCAACTCAAAACAAATCTGCAGACTATTGTTAAACGTATAGATTCAGTCGATGTCTACTTTCAAAAAATTAAAGAAGCTAGGGATAAGTTAGCTTTAGTAGCTGTTCATGTTGAAGATGAGGATATTTTGATCTACACATTGAATGGACTTCCTTCAGAATTTGGGTCATTTAGAACTGCAATTCGAACTAGAGCATCACCTATTTCTCTTGAGGAGTTGCATGTATTGTTAAAAGCAGAAGAAAACTCTCTTGATTCAGCATCAACAAAGTTTAATCAGTCTCAATTCACACCTAGTTCTATGGCTGCTTCACAGAACAACTACAATCAACAAGGCAAGAATTATTCTCAGGAAGGAAGAGGAAGAGGTCATGGAAACAATCACAGAGGTGGATATCAACATAGAGGTGGTTACAACAATAGAGGTAATGGAATTCAGTTTAATTCTCAAGGAAAGTATAATTCATTTTCTTCTGGACAGCAACAATTTCATAATCAACAACCACAAAATCCTTCAAGACAATGATTCAATCAGACAAATCCTATATTTTGTGAAATCTGCAACATGAGAGGACATGGTGCAGTTGAATGCTATCATAGAATGGACTACCCATATCAAGGTAGACGGTATACCTCCACCTCCACAGCCGAGTGCAATGACAGCTTTTGCAGATCCAAGTACTACAAACTGCTGGCCTAGTGATACTGGTGCTTCACACCACTTAACTCCAAATTGCAAGTCTGTCTCTGATGTTCCATACTATGGTGAAGATAAAGTCTTTGTTGGTAATAGTGAGGAACTTCAAATATCTTATACAGGTTAAGCTCTCTTACATACACCTTCACATTCTTTCAAACTAACTAATGTACTTAGAGTTCCCTCTATAGCAACCAATCTTCTTTCTGTTAAGCAGTTTTGTTTAGACAATAATTGCATCTTTCTCTTTGATTCTGACTCTTTTCTGATTCAGGACAAAGTACCAGGACAAACACTTTACAAAGGCCAGAGTAAGGATGGTTTGTATCCCATTGTGTCGGCAATAGTTCTCCAGTTGCTTATCTTGGAACAAGAGTCTCTCACCAACAATGGCATAATTGATTAGGCCATCCCTCGAATCCAGTTCTTCAGCAAATCTGCTCTACTTTTCCTTTTCAACACTCTCAACAAGCAACTGACAATCACATCTGTGAACATTGTTTGTATGGGAAGACGTTCAAGTTGTCTTTTCCAATTTCTAAGTCATTATTTTTACAACCTTTACAAGTTGTACATAGTGATGTCTGGGGTCCTTCCCCTCATCCTTCTGTTCATGGCTTTAGGTTCTATGTGTCTTTCATTGACTATTGCTCTAGATTTTCTTGGATCTTTCCTTTGAAAAATAAATCGGAAGTTTTCTTTGTGTTTTGTAAATTCAATGTCTTTTGACATTAGCACCTTACATTCAGATGGAGGTGGGGAATACATTAATCATGATTTTCAGCAATTTTTATCCAACCAAGGCATTCAGCATCTCAAGTCTTGCGCTCACACCCCATAACAAAACAACAATTACTCTCATGTCTAAAGCTTCTTTACCTTTTTCATTTTGGTTCCATGCCTTTGCTATTGCAATCTACCTCATCAATCGGATGCCTAGCAAAAACACTTCTAACAAATCTTCTTATCAATTACTCTTTGGCAAATCACCTGATTACTCTAATCTGAAAGTTTTTGGTTGTGCTTTGTTATCCTCTCTTGAAACCCTATAATTCTAACAAGCTTCAACCTAAGACCAAAGAGTGTATTTTTCTTGGTTATCCTTCTGATTACAAAGGCTACTTTTGTTTTGATTTGCATATAAATAGACTCTACATATCAACTTAGCTAGGTATATTGTTTTTTATGAGAATCGATTTCCCTTTGCTCATCATACCAGTGTCATTCCACCTTCTTCCTTGTCTTCTGATTTTTGATTTCCAGCCACTACCTCTTCTATTCTTGGTTCACCACCCCAGTTCTGCATTCCGGCACTGACAGTTCTTTACTTCTTCCCATAGTTTCCTCAGACACTTTTCATCTTTTGCCATCCCTCATTAATCCAATTCCTCACAGTCATTCAGTACCTATAGATCAATTGCTTACTGAATCTATTTCTGTTTTTTTACCTTATTCTTCAGTCTTATCAGCTATTCCTTCTTTGAACTCTCACCCCATGCAAACCGGAAGTAAGTTAGGCATCTCAAAGAAGAAAACTTTTACAGCTATTTCCACATCTTGTTCTTCTCTTATTACTGAACCTAAGTCCTATATTCAAGCATCCAAGTCCTCAGACAGGCAACCAGCTATGCCAGAAGAATTCACAGCTCTTCAGAATTAGCATACATGGATCCTTTTTCTCCCACTTTGCATCACAATGTGATTGGTTGTAAATGAGTGTACAGAATCAAACAACACTATTGTCAGATATAAGGGAAGTGTGGTAGCAAAAGGTTTTCATCAGGATGAAAGGCTGGACTATACAGCAACATTTAGTCCCGTAGTTAGATAAGTCAACTTGATGTGAAGAATGTTTTTCTTTATGGAATACTTAAGGAAAATGTTTCTATGACTCAACCACAAGGATTTGTTGATCCTGATTTTCCACATCATGTCTGTCAATTGAAGAAAGATCTCTATAGCCTTAAACAAGCTCCTAGACCTTGGTTTGAAGGTTTACTTCCTATCTTTTTATTTATCAATTTACTACTTCTACTGCTGACTCTTATCTTTTTGTTAGAGTCTCAGGTTCTTCTCTCACTATTTTTCTCATGTATGTTGATGATATAATCATCACAGGGAATGATCCTGTCTATATTGCTCAGCTTATTTCCCATCTTAGTTAAGCATTTGATATGAAAGACCTTCGTCCATTACACTTTTTTTGGGTCTTGAAATTCACTACACTCCCTTTGGTCTATTCATTAACCAAGAGAAATATGCTGCAAATTTGTTACAAGAGCCAATATGTCTAACTGTAAACCTTGTACCACCCCTTGTGTTGCTACTCAAAGAATCCATAGTCACGAGGCACCCTTCTTTCTGACCCTACGCTATACATGCATCTTGTTGGAGCTTTGCAGTATCTTACTTTTACCGGACCTGATATCACATTTGTAGTGAACTATGTGTCAGTTTATGAATGCTCCTATAGACCTCCACTTTGATGTTGTTAACAGGATACTGAGATATATCAATGGTACTTCTACTCTTGGCCTCACCTTCAATCCAGGAGATCTTCAACTTTCTGTGAGCAGATTGGGCTGGAGATCCTATTGATAGAAGGTCTATCGCTGGTTTTGTTATTTTTGGGTTCTAATCCTATCCATTGGGCAACTAAGAAACAAGCCACTGTTGCGGCTGAATATAGAGCTTTGACAGTCATAACAACTGAGCTCTTCTGGTTCAGAATGCTTCTGTGAGATTTAAAAATCTTTCTATCCAAAGCTCCTTTGTTGAGATGTGACAATGTTTCAGCACTAGCACTCACTTCCAATCTTTTATTTCATGCTCGTACAAAGCATATTGAAATTATCATTTTGTTTGAGAAAGACATGAGAAAAGATCTTGAGGTCACTTATGTGTCCTATACAGACCAGGGGGTTGCCTACATTTTGTTTTGGACTTCTCAGAAGCAAACTCATGATGAATTCCTCCATGAGTGTGAGGGGGCATATTAACATTGCTGTTGGTATCACTCATTTGGCTCATCGTGTGGAATCAACAACAATCCAGCAGAGAAGTAGTAGTTCACCAGTATTACAGTTGAAGGACAACCCTAGCACTCAATCCTCTCCAGTTGAGTTAGTTACAGGAAATGCTGAGCTATCAAAACAGAGTAGTGTTGTTCAAGTTAATCAAACATGATTATAGTTAACAGACTGTTAGAGGCTTTTTGTTATTAGTTAGAATTTCTGTCTCTATCGCTCTCTATTCTATTGTAATTATCTTAAGTCCTATAAATAGGACATCATATGATGTAAAAGTGACTTGAGCAATAAGATTTATGTGATGTTCAGTAATTCTTTACCATCCTCTCCTCCCCCCCCCCAAAAAAAAAAAAAAAACATACAAAAAAAAATGATCCAAATGGAATACAAGTTGATAAAAATGAAAATAAGTAACAAAAACCCCAAATTCAATATCTTGCGCTATTCGTGTCAAGTCAAATTGTAATTGGAAAATCTCAATTCAAATCTACAACTTGAATTGCCTTGTAATAAAACATTATTGAGTCCTAGTATTTATTTCACTAGAGGAACCATGAAATTAGAGTTGGAAACATTAGTTCAAGCAAGGAGCTTAGAAAGTCAAGTTTGGAAGCTTATTGGACCTAGTACATCTTCAATGTGAAGACTGGATTGATTCACCAAGGAGCAAAATAGACCAAGGCAATGTGCTGCATCATAAAGGTTGAAGGTCAACAGAGTCTTACACTGGTCGATTCGTATGAGGTCCAAATTGTTTTTGTATGGTTTAATATAAACAGAAGTAGTGCAGAATAACACTCTGATTGATCAGTGTTGGACTCGGATTGACCTGTGTTTATCAGGCGTCCAAATCAGTATCAGGATGTTGAGTGAATCAATTAATAAAGTTAATTCTTTGTAGGTATAAATGTTAATTACGAAGTTTTTCAAGGTGTACACATGAGAGATATGAAGAAAGAGACTCGTGTTAAGAGTTGGGACTTTTGATTCTTACAAGTGAGAATATCTTTTGTGAGTTTTTCATGTGAGATAAATCTTTGATGAGAACAATTATATCATTTTCATGCAACAACCACCCTAGAAGGTTTGTGTGCCTAAGCCAATGAAAAGAGCGTGAGTACTTTCTGTTGTCTACTACAACCACTGTCAGTGTGGTGCCAAGAATCATAGTGTGTAAGGAATTGTAATTTGACTGAGGTATTGTTCGTCTGAGAGCAGAAGAGCGTGGAAGGACTGCAGCTAGGAAACTACAAGGGAAACAAGTGATTTGAGTGCGAATGCGCTTTGAATGAATTGACTCCCTTAAAGTTTTTCAATGCATTCTAGATCAGGCATCTAGAATGCATTGAAAAACTTTAAGGGAGTCAATTTTTAGCAAGTGTTTGAGTCATTGTCTTTATACTGGATTTCACAAGAGATAGTGCATTGGATATGGCAACAGTAGGTACTGTGGTTTGTCCAGAGTTGGGTTCCCATATTGAAAATTATCTGTATCATCTGATTGATTATTGTATGACAGATTGCCTGGTTATAACTGTTTTATTTCCACTGCACATCCTGCTGAATTGGAGGATTTCCCATCATATCTGTAATCAGAGGGTTTTTAATTGGTCGGGGTTTGTTTAAAATTGCAAAGTTGGACGATTGGAGCTATTAACCCCCTCAAGGCTTTGTTTGCATCAAAATAGGTAACTAAGCGCATTTTCAGTATGCTAAAAAATCTTACCCTCGTTTAGTGACTCAAAATCCAATCCCAGTTAACTAAACAATCTTAAATACTGATAAAACCTCCAACGAGTCTTGCCAAAATAATTTCCTTTGGCAAAAACATTTCCAATTTAACCAAACACACCTAAGCCAAGTAAGGATCTCAGCTTGATCTAATCAAAATGCTACATAAATGAAATATAATTGCACAATACATAAACATCACACACAACCGAGCCATTCATAAACCCTAATTTGGATTACATTAGCCAATTCATCTACCCAAAGCCTGATCACATGCTACATATATATATATATATATAAACCCTTTAAAGGAAACACTTAATATACACTTAAAGATTGGATTTTTACAATGGATAAACTACTCGGATTTGAATTTACTTCAAAAGATTCAAGCACAGTAGACCTAATAACATGATCCAATCTATTAAACCCAAGAATCATTTCCAGAAAACACAAATAGACTAGAATTGCCGAAGGAGAAAGGGAACTTACGATTTCAGTTTTCTTCTTTTTCTTCCAGCCATGACCAGAACCAGCTGAGGTCCCTTCAGTTGTGTGTGTGTGTGTGTGTGTGAGAGAGAGAGAGAGAGAGAGAGAGAAGTTAACTGATGAAATGATTGCAGCAACAATCTGGTGTCAGAGCGTGAGAGTCCCTTGACCAGTTACAGCAACACGTGTAGCTTTAACCATAGAGTCGTATCCAGTGATGAGACGATAAATGAATTGATAACAACATAGTTCTACAAAAACTAGGGATTATTAACAAGCAAAAGTCCAAACTTGGGGCAACTCTATCACCAACACTCCTATAAATACACATGCTATGTCACTCCCATCTTCATAAACCATTTAATGTCTTTGAATTTTTTTTTATTAATTTAAGTATTGGAGGGTCAATCCTCAGATTCTCTCTCCGGTCATAGACTTAGAGGTAGATAACAATAACTTCCACACCAAGATTATGCTTGTAATTTTAGCTCAGTGTTTTTATGATATCCACATGAACTTATTCAAAAGGTTAGTTAAAGAGTTGTTATTTGAGTTCATTATTTTTATCTATATGCACAAATTTTTTGGTGTCACATTCAACGCACGCTAATGAAAGTCGTAACAATCTTTATTTCTTTATTTTTTAGTTTAACGATAAAAAATGTTTAAGTCAGTTTACGTGCACCTTAACTAATTCTATTTCTGGGTTAGTCAAAAGTAGGTCATTTATGCTAGAATTATGATATTTATGAAAAATAAATCTTTCGTTGTCTAGTCTTAAAGAGTTCTTAAGGTTAAAACTCAAGACGTTTGAGTTTACAATTCGTCTCTATTATTATTTGAGTTACTCTTTAAAGTTATCATCAGTTCCTTTTCTCTCTTGATTTATTAGTTGATTTAATGGTATATGCGGAAAAAAAAACTTAGAAAAAAAGACTAGAAAGTTAAGTAGGAGGGAGAATAAAGTTATAGAAGGGTGACAAGTTAGGAAAATAAGGAAAAAGGTCGTGCGAGAAAATTTATTCTTTAATTGAATAAATGAGAAAGAAAGAAAATG